GGCTCAACCTGTCCTATAAATAGTAACCGGGTTCTAAGGAGCTCAATATCACTGGATTGTTTTTTGTGTTCATTGTTTCAGTTTAGCCACTTTACTGGCGACCAAAATATTCCAAGAAAACAACCCTCAATGAGTGTAATATCGAGTATCTACCAACTTCGAACTGCACCAAAGCCGGTCATCTCACTACATCCTAAAAGGCCAAGTTGGTCAAGTAAAGGTTCTAAAAGTCCATTAGTGCTTCATGACATCACTTAGCGGCCCCGTATTCTCTTTGATTGACTCAAAGGCTACCGGAACCCACAAATATGTCGCACTAATATAATTATTGCTTCAACCATGTCGGTATACCCCGCACAGTTTCCACAACGTATTGCTATTTACCTATGAATGTTTCCCAAATCCGGGTAGAGGATTCAAACCCAAAAAATAGAATCAAATGTAAAGCAATCAAGTCAAGCAAGATAAGCATGTAAAAGTGATCTAAACCCTAAGGTAACCCCACTTTTAGAATATTCCCCAACAGAGTCGCCAGTTCTGTGATGCGGTGGGAGAACTGGCTTGAGGTTTTGCGTTTGTGTTCGCAAAGGTTGTGGTTTAGCAAGATTCGCCACCGACTTTTATTTTATCCAAAAGGAAAGGTAAAAAAGAACAAGAAAGACCTTTGAGATTGTTTTTTGGGTTCGGGGGGTAGATTATGAAAAGGGAAGGTGCTAGCACCCTTTTCATCCATGGTTTTCCATGGGCTCTTAGTTACTTGTTTTAGATCACTTGATTTTGCTTTTCAATTGTTTGAAATGGTGCTTTTGTGTGGTTTTGAAAGTATTTTGAAAAGAGGCCTTTGGTTAGGCAACCTTTGTAATGATTCTTGTTTGCAAGAATGTAGACAAAGATGTTTGTCTTTTGAAAAATGTTTCAATGTTTGAAAGTTTGTTTGGAAGATGTTTTAAAATTGTGTTGTGTGTTTTTGAAAATAGCAAGGATGGTTTGTAAGTTTGATCAAGTAACTAGGAGTTGTCTACCCTAATCAAAAGTCTTTCCTACACATTTTATTCCTTTGATATTTTTGTTTTACCATTATATTTGGTAAACAACCCTATCTTTGGATGTTAAACGGGACGGGCGTGGGTCATCGTATGACCATGATAACAATATTGCCAAGTATCTTAGCAAGTTTTGAGGGACTAGATCATTTTTGTTTAGGCAACCAAGATAGCGTCATCGAGGGACTATGATCTTTTGTTTTGTTTTGCCAAGATACCTAGCATGCATACCATGGCCATGTTTTAAGGCAACAAGTGGATGAAACCCTAGGGGTGCTTGCGTGCAATGTGTTGTCATTTTTCATGCATTTTTGTCTTGTGTTTAGTCATGCTATTTGTTTGATTTTGGTCTTTTGCATACAAAAACCCTAATCTTGCTATCATGGTATATGAAAGCGATAAAATGCGTAAAAGTAAATCTAAGACTATTACAACATTATTATGGAGAGGGGGATACAAGTTTGAATAAGGGGATATTGCTCAAAATAAAACCCTAAAAACTATTACAACCAAATTGAATTTATTGTACAAATAATAAATAAATGAACAATTATTTAAATATGCAATAAAATATAAATATGCAAAAAATGTTTTTATATTTATTTTATGTATGTAAAATAAATTTATTTATATCCTAAAAATAAGAAAAATAAAAGTGACTATTTTTGAAAGGGGTAGAAACCCTAATTTTTGATTTAATAGAAAATAGTATATTCTATTATTATTTATTTATTCATTTTTATGTACAAGAAAAATAAATAAAAATATATACAAAAATGTTAAAAAGTTAAATATTGTATGAAAATATTAATTTAAGTGTATAAATAATAAAAATAAAAATATATAATATTTTTGTATTATTTACAAGTTTTATTTAGAAAAATAAAAGTATATTAACCCAAATACTTATTTTTATGCTAAAAAATAAATAAAAAAATATGAAAAAATGCTAAAAAAATAAAGAAAATATTTTTATGATTTTTAATGTTTAGGAAAAAATAAATAAAAGTCAGAAATGTGAAATATGCAAGAAAATATGAAAAATAAAAGAAATGGACCAAGGGGGTGCAAATAACAGAATGAGGGGTGTCAAAAGTAGGACAAAACAGGCCCAAGCCCAAGCTGCACTTCATCCCTGTGCTCTGAACACGCGCGCGTGCCTCTGCAATGCAAATCATATTCTCTCTATTCTTTGCATGAAATCAAAAACTCACAACATGAAATTTATAGAGCTTTCAATCACGATTCCAACCATGTAAAAAACTTGATCTAACTCTCAAAGACCAGAGAGAATTTCAGTGGCCCTAAATCTTGACCTAGTTTTTTCAGCAACTTCAACTATCAAATACTCCTAGCTCAGTTAATATAAATGAAATCTACACATATGTACAGCTCAAGCACATTGAAGACTACATCTTTGTTTCACAAACCTAAGCCTAAGGATGTCCAAATAAGGAGATAGAAAGTTGAAAATTACCTTTTTCAGTCAGGTTCGAATATGGCAATGTAGCAACTTTGAATGAGGCCTGAAGGAATTTTGAGCTTGCTTGATGTTCCCTTGACCTTTCCCAATGTTTGGCTTGCTTTGAAATGATCTGAAACTCCTTGTAGAACTCAACCTGCAAAGCTTCAAAATGAAAATGGTGAAGTGTGAAAATGGAGTTACAGTTGCAAAGTAAGGGCCTGGACAGTTTAGGTGTATTGTATTGAATGTGTTTGAAGTGGTTTCAAGCAAAACGCACGAGGCAATTTGGTTTTGGCTTGGTGTTTGCAGAGATGGCCCTGTTTTGGGCAGAAGTTGGTGTTTTTGTGCTTAAGGGTGTTTTAGAGGCTTGGAAATCGTGTTTTGGCTTTGTTACAATATGCTAAGGTTGTTTGAAAATGTTACAAGACTTGGTTTTATCAGATTTTCAAGTTGTGGATTTTTTGCAAGCTTACTTGCTTTTGAAGTAAAAGTTGAAATGACAAAGGCCAAGGTTGTACAAGCTAGCTCAAGGTCTGCACATAGTTGGTACCAATTTCCTGATATTCATGGACTTTGTTTGCTTCAAGAGATTGGGTCAAATGCTCAAGATAAACAACATTGCTAAAAGCTAACTTTATCAAAGTAGCATTGTAACCTTTTTGCCATTTTTGGATTAAACCCTTGTATAATGCTCTAAAGCTCAGAACCAAGCCTTTGTCCAATGTATTTGCATTAAATTAAGGAGTGTGGAAAGGTTTAATACCTGTAAAACAAGTACAAGCATGCTTAGGACAGATTTGCAACTTGTGCCAATGTGAAAAATGCCATGGACAAAAGTGAGAAATGGCCATTTTCTTTTCTTCGATTCTCCCTAACCATAAATGATCTTGGAGAGTTATTGGACATTTTGGAAAGCTTGTAACATGATCTACAATCCATATTTCAAATGAATTTTGAGATTCCACTTGGAACTATGTGAAAAGTTGCCATGAAGATAGGTCAAAATCCTGCCTAAACAAGGGCCAAATTTTACTAAGTTAAAAGTTTCATGGACCCTTGTTCACAAAATCATAACTTGAGATCCAAGAATATTTTGGGAAAACTTTGTGAATCAAAGTTGTAGATTTTGTGGAGGATTACAACTTTCATGTTGGAAGTTTTCTTTGAATCCAATTGCATCATGGTGAAAAAGTTGGGCAAAGTTGGGAAAAAATAAGAAATTTCCATAACTTCGAAAAATTTCTAAGTTATGAAAATTTTCCATTTTAAACCCTAATTTCCAATTTTAGGTTTCTTGGTGAACAAGTTTCATGTTTTTACACCTCTTGATGAAAAATTACCCTTGGCACTTGATTTTGACCAAAAAGTCAAAGTTTGACTTTTCAGTGTACAGTTGATTTTGGATTAGTTGACTGAAAAATTCATTTGTCAATCCAATGCATTTGAGATCTTTTGAACCTTGTGATATGGTCAAGATGATGCAATTGAGTCCTTGAGACCATGATTGAACCCAATTTTCCATTGGCTAGGTGAAAAATAAGAAATTGCCTTCTGCAGTCAAAACCCTAAAAATGACCATTTTGCCCTTTTGATGATTTGATCAAATTTCTTGAAGAGTTGTGGTCCAAACTTGATCAAATGGTTCATATGAGTCTATAATGTTGATGTGGATAAAAAATTATGAGGTTTGACTGTAAATTGTCCACAATTGACTTTTTCCCCAAGACAGTTGTTTTTTAGGTCAACTGTCCAATTGACTGGGAAAAATTTGATTCAAGGCTTGAAACTTGGTATGAGCATCTTAGGAGTCCAATATGAAGTATGAAAGTCACATGAGGCATTAGAAGTCCAAAAATATTGGTGCAAACTCAAACCCTAATTTCAGGTTATCAGTGCAAGGTGAGGTCTTGAGCAAAGCAAACCCTAATCATGTCTGGAGTCCAAGAGGTCTTGTAAGAGAATCTTGATAAAATGAGAGGGCAAATTTTGGGGTACAACAATCACTTTTACTAAACAAGTCTTCTCTATTCCTTCTACGCACAAAGCACTGCACACAATTTTTTCAATTTATTTTTCTTTACACAGTAAAAAAAAATCCAAAATAACCATAGCCAAATATCAACCTTGAATCACTTTCACCATCTCTATAACTACAACAATTTTCTAACAAAAACCAAGCAACTGGAACCATACTTGTCATATATTCAGACCTCTACAATTTTCAAAATCAATCAACTTATCATTACCCTTTTCGTCCATACATCACAGACAAATACCAATGCAACAGAAGCATTCCAAACATAAATTCAAAGTTACAGCAATAAAACTCAGAACGAAAAAACAAAGGAGGAAGAAGTAGAAACTAGTTCGTACTTTCATGTTCTAGAACGACAACTCCAACTTCATAAACTAAATTGTGAATCGAATTTATTCATGCTAACAATATATTATCAATATTTATATAAAAATATTTGTTGTAGGTTAAAAGGATTTCAATAGAAAAATAAATCCAAGGGTAAATCTGAGGGTTCAGAGCAAAAGAAGGTTGAGTCCTCAACTGTGCAACAACTATCCTGTCTGCAATCCTTCAATCTTCGGCCACCACATCAAGAATTTAATGCCCCTACAACCTTCCTCTACGAACCAGTAATCGTGTTTCCGCCGAAAACGCACACATCATCAACAACCGACCTTGACCCATCGACCATCTGATCTACACAACGGAACCTCCATGGACCCGAGAACACAACCTCCATCGCGCCCAGCTCCACCATCTTCCTTCACGGAAATCGGGCCGCCGGTCACTCCCTCTGGATCTGGTTAGCCACCCCTCACTTACATACCAGTCGCACCAAATCTGCACATGAGATAAGATATTTTCAAGTTTTATCGGTTTGTGTGAAAAGTGGAGTTATTGTTGATAAGAAGTGAGCGAACGATATAAAAAGAAGAGAGTAATTACCCATGTCTCCCTTCCCTTTAATTTTTGTACTATTTTTTCAATGTTTTTTCTTTTTTATTTTAATTGCCACACGTCCTCTTTCTATTGGTCAGTTCTAATTTTGAATAAGTCAAGCTTCATCATACTATTAGCCAAGGGACAGCGCCCTCTATCTCCTAACAAGTTAGATTTTGTTAATTTTATTTTTTATAATAATATGATCATTAGATTAGGGTTTTAGGTGTATTGGGCTTTAGGTCCAATTTTGTTTTACTATTTTACTCAACTGTGCCACTCTATGACTTACGTACCTCTCTCCTTCTATTTTGTTTATTTAAATAGATGTACAAAAATATCATTTAATTCAATTAGTTTATTTTAGTTTATTATGTAGGTTATTTAGGTAACAAAATATAATAACTAAATTAATAGCTTTTACATAAATACAATTTTTTTTATTAAATTAACTAAAACATTTTTTATGAATAAAAGGATTTCACATCCTCGATTAGTTAGTAGGTCGGATTAACATAATTATTCAAATAAAATACATTTAAAATTAACTAATCAACAAATCAAATAATTTCTTTTTGCCTGGCATGAACTAATTTCAATGAAGATCGACTATTCTTCAATCCACTGAATTAAAATATCAAAATAGCTAACCAATCTAAATTATGTTTTTTACTAACATAATAAAAATCCAAGATTGTTTTCAAAAAAGGATTAAATAGTATTGCTTTCACACTTAACTGTAAACTATGTCTACGATCACTCTTTTATAAAACCCATACAATGTTCAAGGATAACTCGAAATTAATTCTACGCAATCCTATAAAAAACACCAACCAAATAATATGAACCATGAAATTGAACTATGATTCTTCGCAAGAGGATACGTAGACACGCGGTTAAAACAAAGGTGAGTCCTGCTATTAAAAAATTAAATCATTTTCTTAAATATATGGAAACATTAACTCTTAAAAAGAAATTAACGATCTACCCTACAACCTAAAATAGGATGCCCCTTGAGGACAAGGGAGATGAAGGGTGCCTAATAATGTTCCTTTGTCTAACCAACTCGCAAACATTGAATCTCTAAAAGATTAGGGTTATCTGTTACTCCCCGTCCTTAGGACAAAAAAGTAGTGATGGTGACTCGTATGTTTTTCTGGTTACGACACATATCCCTCCTGATAGAAATGTCCGTAATATTTCCGTGTCAACCTTAAGGAAAACACATCCTGAATAATGTCCTGACATCTGGCCAAATATTGTTACCTTCTCTTGTTTCTTCAAACTAGGTTAGAACATCTTAAAAAGAATTCCACAGAATTAACCACATGTTATGAAGTTTAACCATGTAGCCTTCACATGGATGGAACCATACAGACCCTGTTAGGAGTACAAATAACTACATCTAGAAGCTACATGTCATGATAACTTATGTGACATCACAACCTCATAAGAGGTACAAAAAACATCAAAAGCCTAAACAACATGCAAGCTTCATCAGGTTTGCACCAATGCACCAACAATCCACATACAAGTACTTTACTCCCCCAATTGAACACACCCATACCATGTAGACTTAATCCTGGATACTCTAGCTCCATAAAAAATCATGACTCTTGTATAGGTAAGAAGTCATGAACACTTGTTTTAAGTTTCTCACATACTCCCAAACAACTGTATTTAGATAGCTTGCTCCACAAGATCTAGATTTGCACAAACTCTTCTTGTAGTAGAAGATGCCACCTCCCCGACAAGCATTATGATTAGATTACACTATCTGACACCCTTTTCCTTCTTCATCAGCATCAACACAAGCATATTCAATATCTGATGCAACAATATTAGCAACATCCTTACTATAGATAGCAGGGTCTTCACCTGGGATGTTTGGAACATGTTTCCCTCCAAACAAATAGAAATGCAAAGACAAGGAGATCATTTTTTCTTAACAATAGTCAATAAAATATCACGATGTAGATGGTATGATACAAAATTTATTGACAATAATAACATTCAAGGATTCTTCCAAGGATAGACACCAACAAGCATGATGTTACAACATCAACTTCCAACAATAGAACTCTCTATTGAGCTCTACAACTTGTGCAGAGAAAAATATATTCTCTCTGACAAACAACCTGCACAATTTCTCAGGGAATTCCCAAGACACAAGAGAAACTATGACACACTATAGAACATACATCAGAGGCAGAATCACAATTCTCTAAAACCCAACTCTTCCCACTGAATTCCAAGCCTACTACCTTCATCCAAGTTACGAAAACAAATTGAACATAATGTCAAGACATTTTTACTTGACACCATAAAATGATCAGAGGAAGACTAGCACAAGTTGTATGAGATCATGCAATACTTTGTATAGACTTCAACTCTGCAGAACTACATCAAACAAACACCCAACTCCCGTCAAGGTATTTACAATCAGTCATATGCATCAACTCATCAAAGGAAAATTTTCCTCACATTCCTTCCTTTACAGCATCTTTAGAGGTACATACTGCAGATAAAACTCCCTTCTCACAAATGGTTGGACAACAAAATCACAAGTGAATCCTTTATCATAACAGGCATACATGAAAGATATCCACATCACATACCATACAAGATTTGGTCAGTGACCAAACTCTACACTCCACCATGATGAAAACATGCCACTTGTGAGTATCATGGTAAGAAACAAACTCTCACACACTCTCTAAAGCAAAGAGATAAGAGTGTAGATTTGTATACACATCATAAAAATACTCAGCTCTTGTCAAAGTATTTACCATCAGTCACATGTACATTCTTCATCAGAGGCACAATCAGAAGATAAAACAACCTCCTCACAAGATGTAAGAATATTTCTTTTGACATCCTCATTCTGGAAACATATGGCACAATAAATTACTCTTCATAACAAGTAATTATGACACGCATTTACACATCAAATCAACATATCGTGGCAGATTAGGCTAGTGGCTTGACTCTGTACTTCCACCATGAGATTCACAAAAAAAATTCCTTCGCTGAAGGAACAAGGAACTGAAATGATTTCCAACATCAACAGTTGATCATCCTTCAAGACTAGACCATAAATACATGAAATAACATGCACACCCCAAGAATCTTCTTCTCATACACCCATATCTCCTATCTGACTTTGAGGTTATAGACGCCATCTTTCTACACCTAAATATGAGATTCCCTCTAACAGGTATCTGGAGCCGATCACAACAAATAGGATATTGACTAATCATCATACCACAAGCATATTATTCAGTGCAAGTCTACTTCTCTCGATTCTTCAAGACACGAGGATGCCCTGTAATCCTTGCAAAATAAAATGTTCCAATATGCGAGGACACCACATAACTAAACCTCATCAAAAGGAGAACTTTCCTTGGGTAAACACCTCCAATAAGGCATGATCAACAAACTCCTCCATATTTATGGAGAAAAAACTGGAAAGCTCATCCCAGGTGGTTTGGATGACACTTTAACAAAAACAACCATCAATCATCTACTTAAGTTTATACATCCCTATAGCGCACAACCCTTTGAATGCATTTTTCACTACAATAGAACATGAGTTCCATGCTCTCATAGACTTGATAATAATATCAAGTTTGAATAAACAACCTCCATCCTGTTTATAGGAAACACCACCAGACATAATGAGTAAAATAAATTCTCAATATGAAGATGTCAAAACATTACGTCTGACATTTCTTCAAGTTCTTTTAGCTTCAGATTAAGGACTCCCCCTTATTAACTTCTAAGAAATCTTCATGGAATTATATATTCTCCCCTCAAATAACTTCATATCCTGTAGTTGGTACAAACAAATTATTCCCCACAAACAGAATATATTATATGGCCACATACAAGATTCCATAGATCTGGCTCCTTTAATCAGAAGGATCTTCCAGATGTTAGAGAGAGTGTCCTTGACGTTTGAGCTTGACCTACACATATAAAGGACTTGGTTGAGATACCTTTAACACTCTTCCACGGGAAAATAAAGCACAACCTCCACACTTCAGCTCACTTGGATCATAAGTAAAATAATCCAGCGAGTGACAATATGTTGATCATATATTAACCAACTCAAATAACACCCCAGATGCCTCCTCTTCCATACCAAGAGTATGTTTCAAATATATGTGATCAATACACATTTGTTTAGCACCCAAAGCATCTACTAAGCTAATTCCTTGTCCAACAGGATTCTGCTCAAATTGCTGATGAGATGTTCTAACACCTAGTAGAATATCTTTCCTATACCAAATGAACACATTTTTTAGATTGGTTCTGAAGTCCTTACTTCTCCCAGAAAACTATAATATACCTTGATCACTTTCAAGGTCTTCAAAAGACTTCTATCTTCCATACCATCATCAGCAACCAACAAGGTCAGGACCACTTTCCTAATCTAGCCATAACCTAGGAAGATCCCTTTGGAAGCAACCACAAACAAGAGCTCTTTCCACCTTCAGAACTCTTTTCATCAACCACATTTGAAAGTAGTGTCTTTATGAGTGAACTTGAGATAAACCTAAAGTATCTTTGGAAACTTTAGCAAGTTGGTTGAAAATATCCTCCAAGTATCACCACACAATGGGATACACCTCCAGAGAAGAACATATGACTACAACCTCAATCACCAAAAACTCACAACACCACAAAAAGTTTTCCATCAGATACATATGCAGTTTAACAAAAACAAGAAAACTCCTTAACAAATTCCAAGCACACTTTAATAACCTTTGCATAAAAACACCACACTCCAAGTGCAACAGGTTAACATAGGTTTGAAAATAAATCAAACCACAAAGAAGCTCACTGTTGTACCCCAAAATTTGCCCTCCCATATTCTTCAAAGTTTTGACAAGCATCATCTCAATTTGCTCAAGTCTACTCAAGGGTTTGCACAGTCAAACCATCTCCTAAGCCAGTCAAGATTAGGGTTTTGGTTCTTGCAAAGAATTTGAGGTTTTCAATGGCTTAATCAAGTCCCATAGGCCTATACACATTGTCAAGCATCTACATGCCAAGCTTCAAGGTTCACAGCATCAGATTGCACAATAAAAAAGCCTTATTTGGTTCACAATCAACTGCAGGGGTAAAATGGTCATTTGGAAGTCAAAAGTCAAAATTTTTGGTCAACATCTTATTTTGAAGCCACAATCATCATTTGATCAAGTCTTGATCATGATTCTACAAGCATGGCTCAAAAAATCATCAAGATGCCAAAAGTTACTATTTTTTGACAGTAGAAAAGTCAACTGTAACTTGACCAGGGCATAATTTTTTCATGGTTCATCAGAAAAATCCCACCCAATTCTCATTTTGAAGGGGATGACATTTCCTACAACTCATATTCACATTCCAAGTCCAAGAAATGCTCTCATAAAAAGTTATCAATTTCCACATTATAGGTCAATTTCAAAAGTCAACAAAAAGGCACTTTAAGTCAAAGACCATAACTTGAGATTGGTAAATCCAACTGACATGGGATAAAAGGCATTGGTTAGAGGACTTCAAGACCTTTCCAAAATGTCAAAGAACATGTTCATAGGATCAAAATTGAGCAAGATATTCATTGGAGAAGTTGGGAAATTTTTGGGAATTTGCAAAAGTCAACTTTGCCTAAAACACCTTGTTTCTGCTAATGGGCCTCAAATTCCTTCTTGAATCTTTACCCAAAGCATATGCACGACCCATCAAGCCTATTTGAGTTTATTTTCTTATTTTTATTAATTAATTGGATTTTTTTATTAATATTAATTCATTTAATTGATTTAAAATGTAGGAAATTCAAAGATATGTTTTTTCAAATCTTTTGTGAAGCAAATAAACTCAGGGCAAGCTAGAAAATTCGTGTATCAATAAAGGACATCAAAATCTCCATGTTTGGCAAGTTTTATCAATCAAAAAGATTGAAAATTATTTGATTGTCAATCAAATATTGAAACCATAATGCAAAGGATTTCTTGTGCAAGATTTACCCTAGTTTCATTCCATTACATATACTGAAGCCAAACCTAATTCCATTCACATGAAAGCTGATGCAGAAAACCATATGCAAGATTGAAAAAAAGCCAAGAAAACTTGAAACTGATCTTCATACTCCAGGCCAATTCAAGGCAATTTAAGGATTCAAACACCTTGCTGGGACACTCAGAAACGGATTGCAATCAAAATCAAGCGTTTAACCTCAAGAAATCGCCCTACACAGTCGCACGGTTTAGCTTTCTTTCTCATAATCAAAATTCATAATTCATGCATTGTTAATGTGATTTTTTGTGTGCTTTGCATTGCTAGAACCTCTCTGAAGCTAATGGTACAGATTAATTTGATTATGGAGCCCTGAATCAAAAGATGCCATTAACAAGTATTAGGGTTCCGAAGCTTTCAAAATAGGGCTTTGTTGTACAGATAAAATTGGACCTTCTCACGCCTATGGTTGAATTCGTCAAGGCCAAACGAATCAAACACAACCCTCGCGAACAATTTATATACAGAATAGGCTTGTTCGCTATTTTTTGTCTATGCAGGTTGTGGGGGTTTAAAACCCCCGCTAATTGTTTTTTGTTTTACAGGGAAACGAGGAAGAAGACAATACGTGTTCATGCGTGTTTGGCTGGTTTGAATGAGACGCGCGCTTTTTTTTTTTTTAATAGCATATGCATTGAGTTTGCTATATCATATTCTCTCTCCATTATAATATCAAAGCAAGCAGGTGGTTGAGTTGGTGGAAAGCGCGTCCAATAACAATTGGGACCTGGGTTTGATTCCCAGGTCCCCCAAAAGCCCCATATTATTTTTTCTAACATGATTGCATGCAGCTTCTTAAACGTGTTCCATCATGCGCTCCAGGCATCATCGTGCCATGTGTCACATAATACCAATCCAAAGGCCAGAGATGGAGGATCA